TGGTGTAGACTATAAAATACAATGTAGTTAGCTAAAACTATATTAAATTGTTGACTGTTCATATTTTGATGTCAAATATATCCCCGTGGTGTAAATTTGGATAGCTGACTGAACTTTTTGAAGAGGGTATGTGTTGGGGCCTGTGGTTCTGTGTTCACATTGTCCAAACATACACACATTTTTATTTTTCACAACATACTACAGTTTTTCTTATTAATAACAAAAAAATATACCTAGAATGGGTATTTAGAGAGGTTGCAATAATAAGAGATAGTAGAATTGTTTTTAAATGTTACAAGCAGCAATATCAAATATTTACAAAACAGCCAGTACATTTGATAAGGAATTATCTAAATCCATTTTTTTGTTTCCCCTTATAAAATCCTGTTATCTCCTGAGTGACAATATTGTTGTATTTGAAAACGTGTGAGTTTCTGATGCATAACATTCTGAGCAAAGCAGCTATTTATTATACCTATACACATTCTTATCCCACACTCTTTTTTTAAGACCATTATTAGTAAATTTTGAGGTTAGAGAGGTACTGACCCAATCAAACATGTACAGAGCTTGGCCTCTGAGTTAATTAAATGTGGGTTAATAACATATTATAAGGAAATCATTGTCCTTATTACAGTTATTAGGTAGTTAGTCAAATTATAGCTTCAAAGGAATGCAGAGCATGGAGAACTTGGGACTAAATTATGCATTTGAACCTTAGGCCAGCTTTTACAGTTGAGACAGTTTGCTGCTAAAAGAAATCGTGTGTCATTGAAATTAAATGCCTTTCTGGGGATGGAAGCTTCCATTTTTTAATGAAATTACTGAGTGTGGTGCAGTGAAACGATTAAAATCTGTATTCAGGGAATGTGGTGGACAAAAAAAAATCAATAAGAGCTAGCAAACCTTTGCTGCTGGATGTGAATCCTGGGAATGAAATAAACTAGTACAAAAATAATAATTAAAAACATATCAGCACGTTAATGTATTTAGCATGAGTCTCACGAGACATCATCTCCACTAATTTTTAGCATACATTTTCCTGTGTAATGAGAAGCTTTCTTTTCTCATATCCGTATTAGGCAGCATTTTTGCCCTTCCCCCAATGCTCCTGCATTGCAATCATTGTGCTTGCACTTATTATGTTACAAATGACCGAGGTAAGGCTGACATTCTCATTGCATGCAAAAAGACCTAGTCTGCCAGGGTTTTTTTTTTTCTCCTAATGAAGCAGCTTTGTGAAATCTCCCCATGTGTTAATACTAATGAAGATCCTCCAGCACAATTAAAATCGCAGCCAGTGGCTGAAGAGGAAACAGAAAACAATGGTATCTTTCTACATGTGCATATTTCTTTATGCAGAGATCAGCTTTATTTAGAAATATTGTTAATTTTTAAAGTGCTTATATGTAGTATTTAACAAGGTTAACAAGCTGTTCATATTCTTGAATTCTACAAGTATGTTTTTACTAGCTCATACTGAAATCACTTGGATTTTAGTCACTGCACCGTGGTATAACTATATAGTGTTATGGTTTGTAGGGAGCAGTCCTTTGGCTCTTGCCATGTACTTTAACCCTGCCCGAGTTTGAGACTATGCCAAAGAAAGAAAAAAAGGAGGATACCACGTGTGTAGTGTGAAGGGTTGGTGTAGGAAAGCACAGCTTCTATCTAGTTTTCTACAAATAACCTGTTTGGGTTGTTTCGGGCAAGGCAAGAACATCGGTATTAAAAGATGTATTTTTTATTTTAGTTCTTGTGTCAACAGCTGGTGAATGTTAATACTTCCCCGTATGTTTAGCTTAATTCTGCCACCCTTGTCGCCTGTTTTACTTGAATTTATCTAGTACTTCAGGAGCATAAAAGTTGAACGTTGCTTCCACCGATTTGCTCGGCGTCTTTAAAATGTCTCCTCTTTAAGAAACGGGTAGCTTTTTTTTTTTTTTTTTTTTTTTTTAGTAGGTGGCAGTTTGGCAGTTGTTTGTACCACAGATTCTTTGTTGCCATATTAATTTTTTTTCTAACCTAAACTTAATCTGCAGCGTGAGATCTGATGTAGGTTCTTGAGGTGGGCAACTGTGTGTCTGCCCCGATCGATAAAGCCCTCATGAAAACCGACCCACTGCCGGCCGACACTTTCTGCGGCTGTTGGAGCAGGCGGCCGTTCCCAACTTTCCCCCCCGCGCCTGACGGTGCGGGCGGGGGTCGCGGCTCGCGTCCCGTGCCCGGCATTGTGGGGAGCGCCGGCGGTGACGTCACCGGGGCCGCGGGGCCGCCGACCCCCGCCAGGGACCCGCCGGCTCGGGGC